TTTCAAAAAAGACAGACCCTTTCTCAACAACTTTAGAATCAGTATCAATATGGAAGTTCCACCTCTCCAAGACTTCACCAGTAGCTTTGCTCATTATCACCAACACTACTCTCTGCAACTTCCCAGCTTCAAGCCACTCTTTATAAACATCACGCAACAGTATATGATCACTCTCTCTATAAGACTCATAGACAAAAAAGAAAGAATCTGTTTTTTTAATTACTGGAGATCTGTGAAGTGAGATTTGATAAGAATGATTTGACGGATTCCTCTTCACCTGAATAGAATCCTAATTTTAGCAGAACTTCCTATCACATAAAGAGAATCAAATTCACATACAAAAATCATCAGAACACTTTCAACCGAATAAATCATTTCAAAATCATCATCAGCCTAATCTTTAAACATCCGTCTTCTATAGTTCGATACAATCAATACTAACACAATGGATATTACTCGCCTTTGGGTTCTAAAACTGAGAGAAAGATTTTTGATATATTGCAAGCAGACCTGCATTAAGGTTCAGGAGGCCGATTCTGTCGGATTTGGAAGAAGGGTCGATGAGTTGTTGGAGGAGGGAGGATGATGAGGACGGAGGAGCGGTGGTGGTGGTTGTTGGTTCTGATTTGCGGGATTGATCGAGCTCTTCGCGGTCTTGGATTCAGAAATCTGGAGAGGAGGACACCCAATCGTTTTGTCGCATGTTTCTGTGAGAAAGAAGACAACAGGGCCTTACAAAAAAAAAAATTAACAACTGAAGCCCAGACGGATTTGGCCCAAACCGATTGCTGACGTGGCATTTCCAGCCTGGCGCTGACGTGGCATAGCTAAGAAGGAAGGATGCTCTTCTTTATATAATAGATGGTCATAATGTTTATGTAAACATCAACTGTTTTTATTTTTACAATCAACTCCATTTGTATCACACTAGCTAGTCGCAAATTATATTTAACTATTCTGCTACAGAAGTTTTAAAGAATCTAGTTTTCACACGAAACAACTTATGACTTGAAAGTATAATGTAATTTTTGTCCTTTCAAAGCCATTTCACCATATGCTTAAATCGACGACCCATTATGATTATACTAATTACCTCGTGCCTTCCTATAATAAATAATTATTTACACTGATTTGATCATCGCGTTCTCTCATCATCGATTTGTAACATTCGCGTGTAACTTTTTCTCTCTTTGCTTGGCGTCTCATCGTATGTATACTTTCATAGTTAAAAATTTCAGTGCTTCGTATCTACTTTTTTCCATATAAATCAGATCAGACCAGACGGAGATGTTTCTAAGAAAATCAATTCGTCTGATCACCACTTGATCTAAATTTAAATGGGCGACTGACAAAAAAAAAAATATATATATATATATTGGAGCATATACAGTAGGAGAAACCAAAACAAGATAGGTTTGAACTCAAATGAGTTTATTAAACTAAAAATCTAAGATTAAAGATAGATAGCTCATGAAGAGCTTTATTGAGTACAAGAACGTAAATGAAAGATGGTAACTTTAGTTTGTCTTCAAGAGGTTAAAACACAGATTGATTCATACAAAGATAAGAAGAAGAGAGAGTTGCTTTGAGGCTACTCCCAAAGTTACATTCTTGTTTTCATAAGAGCTATATTTATACAAATCTACTTGTTTGGAAACCCTAAAAATTTTGAGTTTTCTTTTGACATTCGGAACACTAATGAGCTTAAATCTTGGATGCTCTAATATATACGAGAATGTACCAAACTCTTGAGGTATATGGACACACGTATGTTCGTCTGGACTTGCTTCAGTCCAGATGGTTAGGGTTGTAAACGATCAGTTTACCTCTTGTCATTAGTTGAAAATTATTTTTAATTTGGATCATGCAGTGTATTATAGTTTCAAAAAAATCTACTCTATAGTATTAAATGTGTTCTTCTTGATCAAATCATCCAATAAGACATATATAAAAAAAAGAGGATATTTAGCAAACTTTAATATTAGTATTTTAAAACAATTGACATATTCAAATAAAGTATAATTAATGATATGTTGAAAAGATGATTTACCTTTTTGTTAAGTTAGGTCAGATAGTTACCTTTTCGTGTTAAAAGAGATTACAGTTGCTTCATGTACAAAATTAAGTTGAACTATAATAACTAGTAAATCCTTTTGAGAAGTGAGAAAGGAGCTGAATGGTAAATATTCGGTCTTCATTAGGTGGCTTTGTCGTTGTAATTAACTTTCATAGAAATTACCAATAAGAAATATAAGAATGCTCATGTGTTTCTCTTTTCTTTTTGTTCATTTCTCCAAGTTAAAATTTCTAAGCAAAAAAAATATCTAAACAAAGCATGCAAATCTTACCTTTACGAGAGTGCACGATGTTGAAATCAAGTCGTGATGATAGATACTTTCTGTTCTTTTTTTAATGTAAATTACGATAAATATATATCACATTTTGATTATAAGTCTATTAGTTTATACTATTATTTTAAAATAATGCATATTTAATAAATATAACTAATTTGAAAATTACCATTTTTATTATTGTCTTAGTAGAAGATGCATACAAACAGTAAAAATATTGTTTTTTTTAATAAAATTATTCAGAACATGCTTCTTTTTAAATAGAAGATTTTTACAAAAGTATATGATTTCTTCGTGTTCGAGTATATGTGAGGGATAAACATAATATGGCGAATCTTGATTTGAATCTCACTAGTCTCACGGATATAAATTATTGGTTTTGACCCATTTAAATGTCTATGAGGGGGTCTATCCGTTGATTGTACTTCCATCTGGAAGTTAAGTTTGTATTTTTAATAAATCTGGATTTAATTTTTTTTGTTTAATAAAAAAATATCATAAGAGAGGTCCACAAAAGTTAAATTAGGGTACCCAAAATCCAGTCCTCTTCTTGGAGTTTTCCTTTGCTTCCCCAATAATCGAAGGGTAGAACCGTCATATAGTGTCCACGTGTAGGGACACACCAGAGGCAGTGATGCGAAAAGATCAAAAGAGTGAAAGACTAATTCTAAAGTCTCAAGCTCGAAGGACTTTTACTGGGTCGGATCATTGATTAAAAGGTATATCAGCTATCATCAATAAGTCAGCACGAATGACTTGACCGAATATTTTTTATGGCCACACACACACACAAACTCTTTTTATATAATCGCGAGAATATTCTTACGTATTAGTCCTAAAAGCCAAACGAGAAAATAGTAAACCAAGGACATGAAGGAGATGGGATCATGTGTCAAAAGAAGAGGAGAACCAGAAGAAGAGGAGGAACAAAAGTTAAAACTTCCAGGGTTTAGGTTTCATCCTACCGATGAGGAGCTTGTAGGGTTTTATCTCTCTAAGAAAGTATTTCTCAAGAAATCTAGTAAGATCGACGAGATCATCACCCAAATCGATATCTATAAATATGACCCATGGGATCTTCCTCGTAAGTATTTTTTGCTCACTCTTAATGTTACTTTTGCTCAAAACAATTAAATTACATGTATATAACAAATGTATGAAAGTGTTTATTCCTATTACAAATAAAGGGAAAAAAATGATACATAGATACTGCATGCATAGTAAATTAACGTATAAGATTGTAGATATAAGCTGCTGACCAAAGGTTTATTTGTTTGAAGAGTTAAGGAACACAGAGAAGGAGAGCTACTTCTTCTGTAAGAGAGGAAGGAAGTACAGAAACAGCATAAGACCTAACCGAGTGACTGGTTCTGGTTTCTGGAAAGCCACGGGAATCGACAAGCCTGTCTACTCCGATGGCTCCAGCAAAGCCGTGATCGGTTTAAAGAAGACTCTCGTTTATTACCTCGGAAGCGCCGGGAAAGGAAGCAAAACAGATTGGATGATGCACGAGTTTCGCCTGCCCACAGCCAATGACACTATCCCTTGTGGCTCCACCCACCATAACCCTACTCCACCTTCCTTGCTTCATGCTGTAAGTTTGTAACCTACTCAATCATGAATTCATGATCATAGCTACTATGGTTGGCTACACGTTTGAATAGTACAAATGTTTATAAGCTTCCGTGTGGAATCTTATAAAAATAATACTTGTTGATTATGAAAGTGACTCAAATCTTACTAAATCGGAAAACAATGGTACTTTTTTTAAAGGAAAAAAAAATCGGGTTTTAAAATTATATAAATATGGATCTAATGGATTGTAAATTATTCACTCACACAATTAATATATATATAAACCTTAAAGATAATTTTCTAATCGTGATTTCTGTAAGTTTTTTTTCTTTTCTTGGTGTTCGATTTGCGTTTATTCATATAATAAAACTGCAGGAAGTGTGGACGTTGTGCCGGATATTCAAGAAAAATGTGTCTAGTAGAAAATACACACCGGACTGGAGAGAGTTAGCAAATGGGAAACGTGTGAAGCCGCAACAATCTAAGTACCAAGAAGCTTATATCAGTTTTGGTGACAATGAAAGTGCTATTAGTAACAATAACATCAACATTATGGAAAGCAAAGGGAATTATGAGAGGAACGTGTTTCAGCTTCACCAAAGGCCTCATGAGCACCAACCCATTCTCATGGATAGAGCTAGTACTACACAAATCGATAATACGGGTCCACATTTCTCAAACGATGACATTCACAATACAACCTACGAGAAGTGGGACGAGCTTCGATCGGTTGTGGAATTTGCTTTCAGTCCTTCTCTTAGTTAGATATGTCTTTAAACTGATTAGTTCATTACTGTTATAAATTTTATAGTACTTGGACGTTTGTTGGTTGTTGCAAGGGAGATACACTGATCATTAGTTTTCTGTTTCCTGTATATATATGTAATATGGATCTTATTGTGTATATGAATGTACCTGATTATATATCCATATTGATACATGTATTTATAATTGTCCATTTATCCGACAAATAATCTGACGTAATTTGTTCTTGGTAATCCTTTCATTAAATGATATTCTCTTGTTTTTCTTGGGTGTTTGAGTGCCTTTTTGCAGCTAGACAATAAGTTTCTGTCTCAAATTGGTTATACATTCATATTTGATGCAACTTGTTTAGTTTTTGTAAGGGTTTAAAGTGAATCATACGGATTTTATGTCATACAAATGACCTTGTTGGTATGTCTGAGTGATCCATTTGCACTTCTTCTTCGGCCCAATTACAAACTATTTTCTGTTCTCTTTGATTTAGAGATCTGTTTGTTTTATGTTTTGGACTTTTGGGTGATAAACAAAAACTTTTCAGCTGAACTGGGACATGTCATCGGCTCCACGTAGTGGAAGGTAATAGGCATGTAACATTTTGGATTTTAAGAAAAATATGCTAAATACATATTAATTTTGCAAGTTTATCACATTGCCATGCAAGTTGGAACCACAAAATTTTGCCCCCACTTGTAAAATGTTAAATAATAAAATGTGCCGATTAATTGGATCCTTCAACGGAAGTAAAGTATGTCACAACCAATAACCATCCAACTTAGGCATCTTGATTTTGTAGGGACTCCATTTTATGGTCCATTTTTATGGATGAGTCCATATTTGCTTTCTTGATTTAATGTATTCGTGTTGTGTTGTTGTCTTGGCCTGCTCGACACTAAGGACACCACTCATCCATCACTGCACATCATTCATTTCCTTGCTAGCACCACTACCAATTATTCATCATTATCATGTAGTTGGCAAAAATAAATAAAAATAAACTCTTCTTGAAATCTTAGAGCGCTAAATCATCCTCACCAATAGTGATCTTCATGTTTATATTTTAATTAAGCAAATAGAAGAATATTCCATGTGTATATGATATCTGTTATTTCTTGCTATAATTTAGTGTGTCATCTTCGACCTCAAGTCTATTTCTTACTATTTTTCTCCCGTTAACAAAGTAGCCGACGCATATCTTGTTTTTCATCATTTTTCTTTTTTAGCTTTACCATATTCTCTCTCTCTCTCTCTCTTTTTTGTGACAATTACCATACGCTCTATCTTGTGAAGTTATTCTTCAGACCATCATTGCATTGCTTTACTTCTTTCAAAATTCATGGTTACGAAAACAGGATATATAATTGTCTGAATTCTAAGCTCCAAGTCTTTCCCACTTGCCCTCGCTAAAGAACTACACATATTAATAGTTAAATTATATTTTATTTTGAGTGTTTTTAGTGCTTGGTTCCTAATGTGGACAATAACCAAACTATTTTCTCACCTTTTTCATCCATACGGATGTACAGTCTTTACCCATAAATGTTCATCATGTGTTGTTCCTATTAAAATATCAATGTCATATATTAACCATATATTGTTATGTCTCGGACAAAACATAAACATCCAATCAAAATCCTCAACTAAACCACATGGTATTTTGATATTTTTTACAATTTAGAAGGTGATGCTATGACATTTGCATAGGATTAGGCCAAGTAGACAATAGTGGTATAGGCTTCTCCGTTTACTTTAAATCCTCTCTCACATCTCTTTTCGAATTTCATCTTTTGGTAGTCTAATCTAAAATACAGTTAAATCTATCACTAAGATGTTTAAATTGCTATCATTTGATAGATCCAGGACCTGAATAAGAGAAAAATATTAAAACAACCTATTATGCTGCTTTAGCAAATTGACACGAATGTTAATAGTCATATAGAGTACTAAATGAACTCCCACGCTTTGGCAAAACAAGCTTTATGTAATGAGTCCACTACGATGGCTCTACCAAAATTTGTAGGTTGATTTCTAATGAAAGTTGTGTTACAAAAAAAAAAAAAAAAAGAACTCCCACACCAGAAAGTAGCGAACGATATATATAGTTTAGAAATGATGATTCAGTGCCCCTTTGCACCTTCATAATTATTGAGTAGTTTTAGATGTGGGTTTTTTAAAACATTTAATTTTGTTTCACATTTTCAAATCTTCAAACGGTTATTCTTCTTTTAAAAACCTGATTAGTAACTCTTGGTCTTGGGCATATGTAAAATAAGTTTAAGTCTGATAACACCCAATTCTTATGGTTATGATTTGATTAACACTTTATGTAAAATGCAAAAATCACATGACGAGCGCAGCAATTTTCAACTGAAACAAACGATCAACATCTTACTCACAAATTTATTAATTGCGTCAGAGAGTATATAGACGACTTTCATAGAAGCCGAAAGTTGTGTTCCACTTTGGTATTAAAAGTCGAATATTTGATAAAGGGTCGTGAGAGAAGAAAATAAAAAGAGAGAAGGCCACACGATATAATTCATCGTTGGTCCATGTTTGAGATGGTACACCATTTATGAATGGAGGTATCGTCCAAGTTTTTGTCTAAAAGCATATTTTATTCTTTTAATATATGTACATGTTTATGTATTCAAAAGAATGAAGTAGGGACGTTGATCGTCAGAGGTTGGGCTAGATAACAAATGAAAAAAAACCGACCCACAAATCAATCAATTTCGAAATGATGATAACAATAACTCGTAGAACTAACTTATGCCGTCTTTGCCTTTGAAATTTCTTCTTCTTTTTTCATAGATAATATTCAAAACCAAGTTGCGGAATATATTATTCCTTATATATAAAAGGGTAAACCATGTTCATCATCTAACTACTGAGTGCATTGAAAGTTAAAGATGAACTTTAATATTACAACGTGTTCCCATCCGAAAATCCAACCAAAAAAATAGTACTATTCATATCTATTGTATTGCTTAGAGTGTGTAATGTGTCACTAAGTTATTGTATTGAATTGACTTTTGTGAAAGCTCATTCGAGAAAAAACAACAATTGTTCAATGTGACTATCAGATGGCGAAGGTGGCTCACACGACACACAACTAGAAGGTTAAGTTCTTTCGTGCCAATGTGGCCCCATCATCTTCATTTTCACGGTTGATAATAATACATAACTGATGGATTATAAAATTCAATAACGTCTAAGATGAAGAGTTTTGTTTGGTGTAAATGGAAGTCGAGGAAAGTTCAAGTGTGGAATCAATTTCACGTGTTGGAGAAGGGGAAATAAAGGAGAAACGGTCCCCGAAACGGCCCAATTATATTTTTGAGTAAAAATAGGAAAATGAGGAGGAGGCGATGTGGATGTGTTGTGTAATGTTTTAAAGAGTTGTTTTTTAAGAGTTTTTAAAATGTCCGAGTTTGGCTTTCCTGTCTTTTTCCTAGTGGACTACACTTTTAAGATTTGTTCCCTAAATTAGCTTCTTTCTTCTGCCGACAATGTCCTTTCACCATTTGTCCTTCAAGTTACTAATTCACAAGTTTTTTTTCTTTACTAATTTACAAGTTTACTAATACAAAATCTTACTATTGTGATATATTGTTGTTCCTGGAAAAAAATTGAATTAGTGCGTAGTTGCATATTGTGTAGGTTTTGCATACAATTTTTGCATACCGTTTTATAGCCCTATCAAAACCTAAAATGAACTTTGGTACGTGTTAGAAGAAAGATTAACGTAGGTTTTGCATACATAACCTAACGGCCCTATCAGAAACTAGAGTGAACTTTGGTATGTATTAGAAGAAAGATAAGCGCCGGTCTTGCATACATATAACCTAATGGACGTTATCACACCTAAAGTGAATTTTAGTACGTGTAAGAAGAAAGATGAGCGTAGGTCTTACATACATAACCTAACATCACCTATTGTAACCTAAACTGATCTTTGTATGTGTTAGAAGAATGATGAGTGTACGTTTTGCATACATTACGATCCTATCAGAACCTAAAGTGGAGTTTGGTATGCGATAGAAGGAAGATGAATGTATTAGTAAGCTAGTCAATGTACTTTGTAATCGTATAGATTGGAAAATAAGAAAAAAAAATATCTAGGAGTAATTGATTGCTTGACCTGACTTGATGATCCACAATACAAAAAATAGCGTGAATAGACGGCAATATTAATGTGACCTTTTTTTTTTGTCACAACAATAATAATGTGACCATTGATGATTCAGCCGGGACCATTCCAGAAATAAGTTCAGAGTCGTGCTCAAATTATTTGTACTATATATACGACCTAATCAATGATAAGTGCTTAGCGGTGAATTTTATACAAACTTTTTCTATTGATATAAATGTTGCAGTATTTGTTTTCCAAAAGATGTAAAGATAACATCAATAAACTATTTAAAAAGGAGTTAACGCGAATGAGAACGTGAACCAACTTACATCTTAGAGCATCTACATCAGTGAATTCCTCTCCAGCGATTCACACAAATAAAAAATTAATTTTTGTTTCATTTACTTTAAAAAAAAATTAATAATGGACCAGTTCACAGAAATTTAATTTTAATATTAATTTTCTTTTTTGGTTTGCGTGTGAATTCCCCCTATCATCTCTTAATGTGGATGCTCTCACATGCTTCAAACAAACCAAAACCGGTCCCTGGTTCCTCGAAGTCTCGCTCTAGTTTAGATCCTACACATTTAACTAAGCAACGTTACCTAAATCAAAACTACCTTTATATTGTTCTCAGTCAAACTTCTTTTGACGTGCATAACATTTATAATACCCGTTTACTTGATGTTGCCGCGGTTGATTGCATGATGGCTTATAAATACAGCATTGAATGATTAAGAACACACATATTGTTGACATTGCAATATTTTATAATCTTTTTTTTATTAATATTTTATAATCAAAAAGGCTATTTAAATATGAAGATGATATGGTGATTGTGTTGGGTGGAATGGAGGCAGTCAAATAA